GATTCAGTCAAAGAGAGAAACGTGAGTTTCTGGCCAGGCAGAGGCCTGGGAAAGAGCTGGAGAAGAATGTAAATAATTCTTTATCTCTCTTGTTGTTCACATTGTTTATAGTTAAGTTCTATCACTGTGCATCAAGCACTCTGCACCAATGCTTGAGTTGTTTACACTTCAGGACCAATGGAGTTGGTCCTCACGAAGCTCTGTATAAAAGAGCAGTGTATTTTGAATAAACTGGAGTTTTACTCTCAGCAGCCTTCTGATCAGAGTCTTCTCATTCCCGTCCTGCCTCAACAGCGACACTCCTTAACATATTTCTTTTGGGATGCAGCATCCCCAAACACAGTGAAGCCAGGAGCATGAAAAGCCTTGGGAGTTCAGGCATTTCTGTCCACATTGCTTCTCTCTCAAGGCACCCATATTCAGCAGGCAACTGTATCCACCAGGACAGGAAACTCCTCAGCAGGAGGATGAGGATTCTGCATCAAAATCTCTTTGATTTGGTCAGGTAGGATCTTCTCCTTGCTGGCCAACTTAGGAATGTGTTGAGCTTCTTTCCTTGGATAATTTCATGCTCTTTGAAGAGCTCCCAGCTGAATTCTTTGCTTCTGTGATCCCCAAGTGAGATCCCAGGTTTTTCCAGCCCTCTGCCTTTCCCAATTTCCACATTCCAGTGTCACTGACAGTAGCATATCTATCATGGAGGTTGCCCATTCCCCATCCCAGAAAGTAGAGTTAAAGTCATGGATATAACACACAATCAGAAAAAATATTTACAGGTAGCAAATTGCCATCACTGTACAAGGAAAACATGACAAAATGGAAACGTGATATTTATGTTAATACAAAGTTTTAAAAATTTAATTTTAGAGACCAGCTGTTTCTGCTTCTCTTATAAGAGTTTAATTGGTATATAATAGCATAGTTAATTAAATACAAATCAATAGTTTAAACCAGCTAATTGATATTTAATATGTATGGGAAAATATAACTTAGTTGTAATATCATTAGCTCAATATTAAATAAGCAATGGAATTGCAATTATGCCTTTACAACGATTATAAAGTTTATCGTTCTTTAATAAACTTGCAATTAGACAGGGCAAGCTGAAAAATTATTAAACAGGTATTATTGGGCTATTAAATGTTTATTATCATTCCTGGTGGGATACAGCTACACAATAGTACATATTGTGATTATGTTAATAAACCCTTATTACAGCTTTGCAGCTTTAGCCTTTAGTGCACCGGTGATGGGATATTTCCCTCCCTTCCGGAGTGGTGAGGGAAGGAATTGCCCTGAAATTGATGAAAGAAATCCCATACAATGAAAGAAGCGAGGAAAAAGCAGAAGGAATCCATCGTTAGGGCCAGCACTCGGAGATCTTTCTTCCTAAGCATTTTTCCCCTCTATTTCCAAGGCTGAGGATCCATTTCTCCAAGACTCCAAGCTCCTGTTTCTTTTAATTGGCTTTTTGCTTTGTTGTCATCTGCACTTTGTGGTTTGAAGGTGCTCCTGCTTTGCCCAGTGAGTGACTCTTCTGCCAGTTTGGGGTGAATTAATGCAGGTACTTCTGAGAGAGTGGAAACCATGGTTCTGCTGGCTGTTTTCCAGCAGGATACCTTGGCTCCCACTTCATCACAGTGCATGGGATGATCAACTTCAGCTGTAACTACCTTTGCCATGCTGAGAAATTCAATTATCATCACAAGGAAATGGATGGGATTGATTTGAGGGAGATGGGGACACACAAGGGTTAAAACACTCTGGTTTTGGCGTGTCTCAGCAGCCCCCCTAAAGCCAAGACATTTAAAATGCTGCGTATCTGCTTAAATATTTTAGCTTTAGGTAGCCACTAAAAGCCAAAATGGTGAGACATCCTTAGGCAGCAGAGTCATCTTGAAGTATTTTACCTTTTAAAGGCACTCTCAAGTATTTAAAGGTGCCTTTAGCTCTAAAGATTTTTGCATGTTCTCACAAATTTATGGTATGAATTATTATAATGCAGTGCTTTTGTACAGCTCCTTTCATCATGGGATATCAAAGGGGTTTATAAGTGTTAATTATAGCACCCCTTGGGGAGGCGAACGGGAGACAGGCACCCAGAGACCAGCCTGCTGAGCCAGGCTCCAGAGAGACAAGAACCCACATTTCATCGGGATCCAGCTCAGCCTGAGCCTCCTGCCCTCCCGAGGGCTCAGCTGGGCCTGGGACCTGTTGGGCAGCACAGCCTGGGGCTGGAGCCCCTGCCCACAACCTCATTTTTGGGAGCTTTTTGCTCACGGCAAGGGGCAGGTGAGAGCTGGACACTGGAGTGTGGGATTGTCCCAGGACACTGCAGCTCCTGCCGCCCCCAGCACTGCCCTGGCTCGGGCTGCTCTGGGGACACCATCATCATCATCATCATCATCATCATCATCAACAGGAGCTGGAGCTGCTGGGCTGGGTCCAGAGAGGCCACGGAGATGTTCCAGGGCTGGAGCCAGGCTGGGAGAGCTGGGGGTGCTCACCTGGAGAGGAGAAGCTCCTGGGAGAGCTCAGAGCCCCTCCAGGGCCTGAAGGGGCTCCAGGAGAGCTGGAGAGGGACTGGGGACAAGGGATGGAGGGACAGGACACAGGGAATGGCTCCCACTGCCAGAGGACAGGGCTGGATGGGATATTGGGAATGAGGAATTGTTCTCTGTGAGGGTGTTGAGTCCCTGGCACAGGGTGCCCAGAGCAGCTGTGGCTGCCCCTGGATCCCTGGCAGTGCCCAAGGCCAGGCTGGACAGGGCTGGAGCAGCCTGGGACAGTGGGAGGTGTCCCTGCCCAAGGCTGGCTCCTTAAGGTCTGTTCCCACTGAAACCACTCCATGATCTTGGTGATGTTTGTGCTCATGGTGTGTGCAGGGTGTGGCAGGCCCCCTCACCCCCAGTCTGTGTCCAGGAAAACCCAGCCAGCATCCACACTCAGGCCCCGTGTGCACATCTGAGCGAGCAGTGCTGGCTGGCTCAGCTGCACTGTGGGCTCTGCTGCCTTGTCTGACACTAATCTAATTGTGTTGTTTTAATTACTTTGATACCTTGGTGCTCGTTGGAGGCTCAATAGCAATCGATGGGGTTTTGTTTTCCTATCAATAAAGACATAAAGGCTCTCACCTGCTCTGCTGGCTCTGCACAGTCGGCCCTGGGGGCTCTGGGCAGGCTCGGGGCTCTGCCAGACACACGGAGTGTGTGTCCTCACAGGATCCTGCATGGAACCTCCCCCAGGGTCAGCAAGGTCTTATCAATCCTCGTTATCAGCGGGCTGGGGAGGCAGCCTGAGCTGGCTGTCCCTGCAGTCAGAGACATCCAGCACCCTGCAGGCTGACACCTTCCTGAGTGTGACACAAACCACAGTGCCTGTGCCTGTGCACTCCGTGCAGGCCGTGCTGGAGCACGTTGTCTCTGTCCTGGAGAGCAAGAGAACTGGTTTCCATCATCCGACCCGAACAATGGTTGCTCATTACTCCTTCCTGTTAATTCAAGAAACCACTGAGAGTTCTGGTGGTTGATTTGCCCTGATCTTTAGACATCTCCACCTGAGTTAGTCACCACCTTTAATGGCCAGTGAGAGAGTTACAAGCACCTCCAAAGACATCATGAAAGGTGGAGTTCCATTCTGAGGATGCCTTTTTCTCTCCAAGCATTCCCTCCAGGACAAGGCGGATTTAGGGGAGCAATTAAATTTCAGCTTGCTCTGATTATTCCAAGAGACTTGCTTTTGTCTGAGCATCATCCTCCATAGATTTACACATGGGATTTGTTTTGGTTAGGTGCTGATTCCTCCCTGGTGGGAGCCTCAGGACCAGGACCCTCCTGCAAGGTGGAGCCCTGTATAATGCTAGAGAAAGTGCTTTAACTGGGCTGGCATGTGGCATCAGAAGAAGTTTGGTTTTCCCTAGGTTTAGGCTGAAATTCTGTGCACATAGAGGATACTGTGCACAAGAGGAGGATGTAACCACTCTGCTGGGATGCCACAGCAGCGAGGGAGGGATTCTCTATGTCTGGGAATGCACCCACGTGGATTTGGGGATCTTCCCTCATCACATCACGCTTCCCTCTTCCTCTGGCCACGGTCCAGATCTGTGATTCAACCCCAAGTTTGCCTCATGGCACTGAAAGCCAAGCTTGCCAGGCAGGTCCTGCTTGCTCTCCAGCCACCGCTGCGCTCTCCAGCCTCACGTTCTCTGAGCAGCACAACCTCCCTCACTCCTTCCTCGGCAGAGGGGGCTCCGCGGAGTCCACAGCCACATTAAGTAAACATCAAAGGGGCTTTGATCAGCGGGGCTCTGCAGAGCACAGAAGCCCCCAAGGAGCTCTGCAGGTCCGCAGGCAGCGTTGGGGACATGGTACCTTAATTTTCCGCAGTGACACAGGAGAATTTGTTTGAAGAACGAGAGCTCTCTGCCTCTCTGAGATGCGCACAGGGAGAGCGCCTGTGCTCGCAGCCTACTTCTGGAAAAACCCACGCTCAGATCTCTCTGTTTGTTACCAAGAGTCAAAAAGCCCCATTAACAAATCAAGGCATCAAAGGCCTGTGCCTCCTCAGACTCTGGCACTCTCCTGCTCACAGGCTCACTTGCTTGCTTCTAAAGAGCAAGATTCCTCAGGCCAGAATTATCTTCCCTACTGAGGCCCTATTTCCCGTTTCCCTTTGCTGCCCACTAAGGGAGAAAGGGATAAAAGAGTCCTGTTGTTGGGACATGCGGCCGTGGAAGAAGATGCAGCTCTTTGCCTCACTTGGATTAGAGGAGAGCTTAAGGACAGGCACGGGAGGGGATGCTGACCCTCCTGTCTCTCAATACACTCTTGGGGCCAAGCCAAGCTCAGCTCTGTGAGGCTGACCAGAGACTTCAGTTAGGTGCCCACCTTCCTGGTGCTTTTCCTGAAGGGTATCTCCAGCAGGATTTGCTCCGTGCAGCAGCCCCAGGTGCCTGCTCCTGTCCCCAGCCCAGTCTAACCCCACGCTCTCTTCTCTTGCAGAACTGGGGCTCCCAGGAAGAGGATGCTGCCTAGTACTGGGGTTCATGTACAAGGAGAAGTACCGCAGGATGACTGAAGGTGAGCAGTTCCCTCACCTTCTCTTCTTCTTCCTCCTTAGCAATCTCATTGTGAGGGGCTTCACCTCTGAGGGTGTGCTGGGTTCTTGTTACCACCCAGGAGAAAATCCTGCTTCCCTTTCATCTCTGGAACATCTTAGAGGGCATGCATGTGGGGCGACCCCTGTGTGAAGCTGCAAGAGAAGAGCAGGAGCTTTGTACATCCAAAACCCACTGTCTTTTCCTACAGAAAGGATTTGTCACACAGGAAGCTCTTGCAGCTATTGCTGCATCTACTCTTCTTATTCTCCTTGGGTGGCAGTGGTCACCATGCCACTTCCAGAATCCCAGTTTCCAGTGCCTCTGAACCTTGCAGACTCACTGTTACATTGCTCCTCAAACTTCTGCTAAAATCTCCCTAATTTATATTCCAGTCATTCCCCAAGTACTTTATGAGCATTGATTAATCCATAGAAATATCATAAATAATTATGAAGCATAATAACTAAACAAAAACTATTTATACTCAGAAGAAATGCCATCCTTGCTTCTGGTAGCTTCCTTTCCTGGAGCCAGCCCTGGTGCAGCCCCCTCTGATTAATGCTGGATGAGAGAAGGAAGCTCAGAGCCCTGCGGGATGGGAGGGTCTCCAGGACGTGTCACAGGGAGTTTGGCTTCAGTGAGGTCACTCTGGGGATTGGAAACGTGACCCAAGCATGGATTTAACCCTTTTTAGGGAGTCTGATTGGAAATAATTCAGACAAAGGGTGTGATCTCTTGTCCTGCTGCACTTTCTTTTCTGGAAACATCCAAGGTCAGGCTGGATGGGGCTCTGAGTAACCTGGTCGAGAGGAAGGTGTCCCTGCTCACTGCTTGGGTTGGGTGACCCTGAAAGGTCCCTTCAAACTCAAACCATTGCATGATTCTTTTTCCCTGCATGGGATGGAGTTTTGCCAGCAGTTAGCCATGGGTGGTGTCTGCTCCTGCAGGAATCCTTTTTCCATGACAGCAAAAGGTGAGTTTGTTTCCATGGAGTAAAACTCTCATAGAGGCAAGTTTATGGTTCAAATACCAGTTAGAAGATCAAAGGTTCCTTCACGTTCCCAGGAGCCCTGATACTGAGCTGATAACATGGGGAAAGTACTTCACAAGGCTTCACCTCATGCTTGTTAATTACCACACGCTCTTTAAACATTGATTAGAGGATGTTTTTAATGGGAAGGGGCTGCCCCATGGGACAGGAGTGCTGTGAGAAAGTGCAGCCTCCCTCTCGGTACCTTCCTGTCCCTCCAGCCTCTGGGACAGGCTGTCTGTGGCTGTGCCCAGCCCCTGGGGATGCTCACAGGGTGTTGGAGAGCTGGCAGGACCCTGGGCATCCTGCCAGTCCTTTGGGATGGCTCTGGTCCCCTGGTGGATTCAGAGCCTGCATCAGCCTACCAAGTCAGCCCCTTTTTCAGGCTGAGCGTGGCTTTGTGTAGAGACAACAAAGGAACATGAAAGGCCAAAAGTAAAGCTTTTGTGAGGGAAAGGGAACAAAGTGTTCCTGCCTGACATGCAGCCAGTTTCTGGCCCCTGCAGGCTGCAGGGCCATTATGTTTAAAGGTACAATCTGCCAAAAACAAAAGTCAGAGGGATTTCCATGGCTACAAAGACCACCTAGGACTTGTGTTTTCATTAGAAGCAGTTACAGATGGCAATTGCAGACATCCAGCTTCCCAGAGTTTTGGTGGATTGCAGTACAGATCCACACTGTATGGTGTGTGAGCTGGGGTGGGGTCAGTGTCTGGTCATCTACAGGAATTTCCTGCCCAAGGTGCCTGAGCCAGACTTTTGGGCCAGTTCCCTTGCCAGGGTGAGGAGAGAGAGCAACTCCCCCTTCGTATTTGTGCCAAATTAGAGCTTTTCCTCCCTTTAAAAAGAGGCTGAAGAGCAGCCCTAATAATTACAAGGAAGCTGAGGGAACTGAAAGCACAGGAAGGCAGTGGGGCAGTGGGATAATATGAGGCATGGGGTCTCCATCCCAGAGGAAACAGGTCATTGCAGGGACCATGAGAACCTTCCTGTCATTTACTGGAGACATCTACAATGGCTTGGAGGGAGAAAAGCACAAGAGGTGTTGGAAGCCTTGACAGTATGGAAGAATCATTTTCTGATGGGCAATCACTTCTCTGGTTGGATTTCAGGCAGAGGTTCTTCCCCCAGAGGTGCTGGCACTGCCCAGGCTCCCCAGGGAATGGGCACGGCCCCGAGGCTGCCAGAGCTGCAAGAGCCTTTGGACAGCGCTGCCAGGGATGCCCAGGGTGGGATTTTGGGGTGTCTGTGCAGGGCCAGGAGTGGGACTGGATGATTCTGGTGGGTCTCCCCAGCTCAGGATATTCTATGATTCTGTGAATGTGGTGTTTTTGGCTGTTCTCACAGAGAAAATCCAGTCTGGATGCTCACAGATCAGTTTGGCAACCTCTCCCAGTGGGGTGAAATAGATCTGGGTTAGAGGTGCCCAGCAAGGGCCTTTGGTGGCATTGTGGGGTTTTTTTGACCAGCTGGCAAGTGATGGTGTCCCTTAGCACAGCTGGCTGCAGATGTGGCTCTTCCAGCTGAGCTGGGCTCCTGGATGAGGAGCCGAGATCGGTGTCCATGGATGTGCCTCTGCCCACATCAGTTCCATCAGCTCCTCATCCCCATCTCTGTGCAGTGATCACACAGCCCCAGGTGCAATGCTGGAGCCGTCAGGCACCACGTGATGGGCACAGCAAACGCAGTTTGGGCACTGTCCTTGCACTGTCCTTGCACTGCTGTGCCGTATCAGGTGCGACCACTTCTCACTTGTAAAGCCCTCGGCAGGAAAAGTCTGGATTTGGGGCTGGAATTTGGCTGGGGAGCAGCAAGGCACAGCTCCAGCGTGGCTGCTCTGCGCTCATGTGATTGATGATGGGCTCGTCTCGTGCTGGGCCCACGCTCTGGTGTGCACTGGGGGCTGTGGGGTGAAATGGAGCTGGTGACAGTTGTAGACAGAGGGAGAGGGAGAGGGAGAGCTGTCTGCAATGACGGCCGCGCAATAAAGACGCTTTGGAGTTAATCCTCCACCATCTGTCTTCATTCTGCTAATAACCCACTCAATCAGCTGCTGCCAACTGTTTGTTAACATTCAGAAACAGATACATAATCAGGAGGAGCATGCTGTTAGCTCAGGAGGGGCTGGATTGCTCCTTGGGAAGGGGAGTGGAGCAGTGGGAGCCACGGCGGGTGGCCTGGATGTCCCAAGGCACCTGCAGTGCAAGGGGGATGCTGCTGGGGCTGGAGGTGATGCTGTGAGCTGAGTTACCCTGCTTCTCCCAGGGCTTGTGCCACCCTGATTCAAGGTGATTTTGGAGTAGAAAGATGTTTCCTAGGAGGTGGGTCACCTTAGTCCCCCAAGAAAAAGGATTTTGAGCTACTCTGAAAATTTGGGCTGGTTCTTCTATTCCCACTTCTCCTTTCTCATACAATTCTCTACCCAAGGGCAGGCAAGGGGTGTGCTGGAATATCTCTCTCTGCTCACCCATCATGCTTGGTCCCTCCCTGTCCATGCCTGCAGGTCCCAAGCTGGGCTTGCTCCATTCCCCTCTGCAGTGGTCCAAGGCAGGAATTCAGATGCTGCTCCTGGAATTTTACTTGTCTCCTGCCTTTGACTACTTGCCAGATCTAACTCGAGTCATTAGCAGGCATCACTGCAGCAATTATGGCACTTTTTGGCTGCCATTCATAAAGCTACTAACGGGAACCATTAACACTGAGAGGTGTCAGCCTTCACCTCCACCACCTGTTCCCACCAGCCACCGGCTGCTGGAAGGTGCCTACAACAATGTCCCCCCAGCAGGGCAGCGGGGCAGGGCAGCTCCCTGCCCTCCTCTGACCTCCCCTCCCAGTCTCTTTGCTGGCTCTTGTGTCCTCACGTGTGGAGGGCAGGTGGCATCTCCGTGGGATGGACACAGCTCTTGGACTATGAGGGGTGGGCTCCATCCCCGTGCCCAGCACGGAGCGAGGAAAGGGACAGAAGGATTTGGTGCAGCAGCTTCCTCCCGGAGCAGTGAGTGGTGAATGATCTGTGCTGAGGGAAGGACAAACCCTCCTCTTCAGAGGGATGCAAACACTGCCTGCTGTGCCAGGAGGAGGTGGTGCCGCAGTTATCTCCAGCAGCAGCTGCTCTCCGTTTGTGTCGGGGCTGGATTGTGCATTCAAGGTGTCCCCGTTCACTGCACAAAGCACAGCAGAAGCAGCAGCCTGTGCTGCAGAGCTGCAGATGTGTGGGAATCCAGGGCTTCCCTCTGGCTGCCCTGGGACCCTGGCAGGGGTCAGGAACCCCCCTGGACAGAGCCCCCAGAGACACTGAATGTGATCTCTGGCCATGGAAAAGAGTTTTCAATCCTACAGGATGAATTACAAGTTCTGAGGGTTTGATATAAGTCATAATTAAGTGTGGCATGGGTGCAAAAGTAAAATTTTAGGATTCTAGATTAGGGGTACAAAGGGGACAAGATGGAGGAAATTGGGTGTGCCTTGTCCTTTTTCTCCTTCTTCATGCCCTCCATGTCTCACTGTGGTGTTGGCATTTTTCTGTTGGTTCAGGCTGGGGACACACTGTCCAACGTAGGTGACAGATATTGGCATGTTCTTGTAAATGCAGCCCAGGGAGTTTCTGGTATTTAATGTTTGTCACATCCCACTGAGGGCAGAGCCCCACACACTGCCCTGCAGGACAGAGCTGGGCAGGGCAGCAGAACATGTGAGAGATCAACAGAATAAACAACCTGGAAACCAGCACAGACCAATGATGGCTTCTGCTTTGGCAGCAGGGCTGACAGACAGAGACTTTCTACAATCTTGGGATCATCACTACCTCAGATTCTGACACAGATCCACATAGCAACGAGTGCTCTGCCTTCTGTGCAAGAGGGAGAGCTTGGCAGGTCACCTCTGCTGGTCAGGGCTGCAGAAATCAGCTCAGGGAAGGGCTGCCCAGATCCAGGGTGCAAGGCTTTTCTT